TGACTTAGCAAAGGCAATCAGAGGCTACAACCACAATGAGGTGGATGGGGAAATATCATAAGAAATATATCTTAATTAACAAGAGTGATATGTGCTTGCTTTAACATTGACCTTTAGGTAATATTAAGCTTGGCTAAATAAAATAACCTGTGTTCTAATACTATGAAGAAAACATTTTACAAGAAGTGTCAACTGTATGTCACAGATGGTGTAAGATATTACCCGTGTAGAGAGGTGTGGTAAGATAGCCGTTTGTCTCAACTTCTCCTTTTTCCTTGTGTAGCCTCAAGATATAAACTTCTCCATTTTAGAGTGTCAAAGGTAGATAAGAGTCTCCCCAAGGACAAGGCGTGGGTGGACAGCGGTATAAGATTTATTCCCTGGGAGTAGCCCAGGGTTCAGAATTTGTCATGCGAATGCTCTGAACCATTGTGCACAAATAAACCTGTTTTCTCCAACCCTTCGTGGTCTTGTCTTTTGATGTAAGTATCGTGGATTTTCCACAACAACACTGAAGACAATCCAAGTTGCATTTATGTTTGACACTCATAAGGATTATAATCTGCATAGTAGGGAGAACACGATGGAAATGCAGTTACTTGTTATGCTAAATCCAGCCTACTTATCTTTGTTGTGGACACTCAAACACCTGTTATATATCTCTGTATTTCTGATACCTACACAAGTACACCCCTTCACCAGTGTTTTAGGCAAGTGCTCCTAAAGGAACATCTAACCTATTGCAACTAATATAAAAAATAAACTCAACTAATTTTACTCATGCCATCTTCTAGCTCTTTAACATGTTATTCAAAGCTTTCTCGAAGATTTCAATTAAAAAAATAAACAAGTGAAATAGCATTTAATAGTTCTTTATTTATAAGCACATATTGTCCCTTAGTACTACATGAAAGAAACAAATATTATTAAACTTTGTTTAATTCTTTCCTGGATTCTTTCTTGGTGGTACAATTTGTCTGCTGATACTTTATAAAGAATCATAGAATGAGAGTTGGAAGGGATTTTGGAGGTCATCGTTCCTCAGCATCTTTTCTGTATTGTGGCAACTAGAACTGGAGACAATATTCTGGAGTGGTCTGCAGCAACAAGCAGCATTACCACTTCCTATGACCTTGACACTATACCTCTTTTAATGCATCCCAAAACTACATTGGCTCTTTTGGTGGCTGCTGCACATTGCTGGCTCATGATCAATCTCTGGTCCACCAAAACACTCAAATACTTCTCATAAGTACAACAGTATTGCTAAGCCAGGTTCTACCTATATGGTATCTATGAACCTGATTTTTCCTGCCTAAGTGCAAAACCTTATATTTTTTAGCACCGAACAACATTTTGTTGGATAGACCCCAATGTTCAAGTGCATCAAGATCTTTTGAATCTTAAGTCTGTCTCCTGAGTTGTTATCATGCCCTCCCCCCTCTGTTACAAGAGACAAGCAGCAGTATTACAACAGTATCTGTAAAGACTTTGAAGATGGAAATAGAATGGAAAAACAAGGAAGTCTTTCAAAAGATCTCTGGGCTCAGAAGAGGTTCCAACTTTGAATTGTTATGCTAAAGGATGCCAATAGACAGATAATAATTCAAAGATCAAATAAAAATGGAAGGATCTCTATATTTAAAAATACTCTATGGCAGGATTCACTTATTGCCTTGTTCAATGACCAAAGTTACCACACTGCTGAAATTTTTTTACTACCAATGACCATTATTTATGACCTTTGCAGTATCCCTTATCACATAATAATATAACCATTATGTGTTTCCCTCCACCCCGACCCCTAGAGTGGAGAGATTGGAGAGGAAGCGATTACAAAACGAACTTTCAGTGAAAATAGCCAACTGTTCTTTCCAGACCCAAGCTGTTTCAATTTTACAAAACAAGGAACTGAATTCCCTAAGTGTATATGAGTCTCCTAGAATCACCTCACAAGTTCCTCCATACAGTGGTAATCTTCAAGGAGACTCTGGAGCAGCACTCCAAAATAGCCGGGTCAGCAATCTAGCTGGGAGCAGGGGTGCCATCACTTCATTTTTGAAAAAGCAGCCATTCTAGAATTTATTTTTCAAATGGACAATAAGTCATGCCTTTCACTTCTTAAACATATTATTATTATTATTATTATTATTATTATTATCATCATCATCATCATCATCATCGTTATATGTATTTGATTATTTATTAAAGGGGACATTATGGCTCAGCAGGTAAAGATGCTGAGTTTGTCAGTGGAAAGCTGATAGTGTGGGTTTGAGACCCAAACGTCATGCAAGAGGGTGACCCCCAGCTCCTGTCCATTTTGCCATTCGAAAGCATGCAAATTTGAGTAGATAATAGGTACCACTTCAGTGGGAAGGTAACAGCATTTAGAGCACCTTGGCATATAATCATGCTCGCCACATGACCATGGAAATGTCTTCAGACATTGCTGGCCCCCTTGACTAAGAAACGGAGATGAGCACCACCCACTAGAGTCGGACATTACTGAATAGGGGAAACCTTTACCTTTATTAAGTTAAAAGAGGCTTTTTTCAGTCACCTGTTGTTCCTCTTTAAAGATTTGTGCCATTTTTAGGACATTGTTATTGGATGGAGGGTTGCTAGAGGTAAGCTAGAATAAGGACATGTGGAGTATTTTTTTTCTTTCTAACTTTGATGGAAAAAAACAAGGATTTAAAAGAATATGCTTTTGTCTTTTTCATAAATTCGCCATCTTTATTTGACATTGGGAGTTATAATTTGAACTTTTGATTATTTGTTGTGGGATACTGAAATCTGATTTTAATGGATTCTGATTAGCCAGAAGACACCCAGTGATTTATAGAAACCATTTTTTTAAAACAAATAAGATTATTCTTTGATCACAAGAGGGAGCTAAAGAAATATCGAAGGCATTTAAGCCAGACAGAAACTGAAATGTTCCAAAGATGTTATAAAAAAGGAGAAAGAAGAACAAACAACTCAAGTTAATTGGAAGAAAGATGAGTAATCCAGAGTTACAATCAAGTATAGTTAGTTATCAAACCACTGAGGCTACTGCACAGGTATTTAACAATATGAAGCATCTCATTGTAATTATGGGATTTAAATTTGACACCAACGGTGCTTATTATGAAGATGATTTAATTACAAGTTCCCAGTGCAATTGAAAGAAGAGTTGTAGTAAATCTGCAGTCCTAAAGAGAACAACCTAAAGGTGCTTTTTCAAAAGGCAATTGGATTTTGTTTTTCTTTGAAGACTGAGAATCTCACTAGACACTCAAGAAAATATGTTTTGAATCTCCACTTCAAAATCAGTGTGGAAATTGACAATGTTAACATATTTGTTTTAAAAGTCATATTGGAGAATCCCTTGAGAAAAAAAGTATTTGCTTAATAGACATTTTGTTTTATTAAGACAAGCTGGAGGGAATGATTTAAATTTAGTAAATTCTTTGGCATTAGGATGGATTTTTTATTTGTTTGACATATGTAATTAAAAGATAGTTTCAATGGATTGTTTTCTCATAAAGTGTGTTTGAAAATGATCATTGAAATTTTATGTACAAGAGGAAGAGGGAAAGAAATGTTTTGGTCTTTTCTTCTTTTTTATATATAGCGCTTGAGTAATTCCTAAAATTTGCAAAATATTATTGAAAGTGAATTTGAAAGTACGAATGTTAAAAGGAAGTTTAAAAAATGCATTAGAATTAATTGATTTTAGTTACAAAGATGAATTTTTAAGGAAATGTTTATTCTTAAAATGAATATAGCAGTTTTCCTTTTAAGATTAAAGAATTTGAAAAAAACAGAATGATTTTCATTAATAAAGATAGTTTAGAAAAATTAATCTGTAAATTGAAATACATTATCATTTCCCACAATAGGGAAAATAGGTTTAGTTAAGATAGTGGTATAAACTATTTAAAACAAAGGTATTTTATTTGGTCTTGTTTCTATTAGGATATTGCTTGAAATAAAAAAAATGAAATTTAGAATTTTGTTTGAAGATTTAATAATTATTTACTTACAGAACTGGCTTGTTATAATTATAGCTAATGTAAAAAGTTGAGGTTGTAAATATATTAATATTTTTCTGTGTTGGAAGAAGTCAGAAGACAACACATTTTTTTTCCTTTCCTCATCCTGCACGTTCCCCTTCCTTTTTTAAAATCTTTCATTGAAATTTATGCTAAAATAAACTTAGTAAAACCAAAACTTAAACAAAACTAAAAAAAGAAAGGGATTATAAGACTGAGCAGACATACATAACACAAGCAATGCCAAGTGCCACATAAGTGCTATGTAAGTAGCCAGGTATTCCTCACTTTATACCTGCCTAGTCTCTTGTAATCCTTTCTTCTCCAATCTCTCCACTTTGTGGGGTAAGGTTGCCAGGTTTCACTAATGTCCATATAACCTCTTATGCAAGATGTGCCTTTCGTTATCATAAGGAATTTCATCTTTGACCTCATTATTCTTGCTTTGCTAACACAAGGACTACTAATAAGAGATAATCTTTATTGTCACTACTTATAGGAGATAATCTTTATTGTCACAATGGCACCCATTAAAATGAAATTATTGTCCTTGGTACCAAGGTAAAAGGTTAGTCTTTTCTGAGCCGTTGCCTGAACTCTGTAAATGATTCTTAGGCCAACCATGAGTTAGTGGCTTGGTTCATATATATCTTCCCAACATGTGATTTGCTCATCTTTAGATTGGCATGATGTGCAAAACCAAATCCCACCCAGTTTTTTTATTTTTTACAATGGATCACTAATTGAAATGGCAGGTTGTTTCATCTGATATTTGCATGACACTTCAGCAAAATGTACATGTATGTTGCCTATTCTTTTGAAAGGTATCTGTTTTCAAGCTCTAAAATGATTAAAGCCAAGATGATATTCACTCCTCAGGAGCTCTACAGCAGGAGCTGAGGATATATGCTTCGTATGATCACAGATTAAAATGTTTCACAAAAATGGCAAGAATAGTAACTATAAGTTATCGTTTATTTTGCAAATCAGAGGTATCTTTCATATTATAAGTATTCCCAGATTTATCCCTTCAACAACACGGGCACACATAGATATATACATACAAACACTCTTGACAGATACTTATCCATAAGAGAAGTTTGGCTGCTGACTATTCTTCTTCTATAGCCATGCAGTACGGGTTTGCAACTCTCTCTAATGCCACAAGATTTCACAGTGGAAGAGACATTAGAAAAGAATTTAATATACGTAAATATGCTTGACAAGTTGATGAGAACAATCACATTAGCAATTTGTCCCAAAATCTCCAAAAGATCATGCTTTGTAGAAAAATGTTGTCAACCAAGAGATGAATTGCAACCTACTATCTGGTGGGACTTCACAGGGGTTAGTCTCTGTGCATTATTACACAATGAGTGTCCCCTGTTCACTGTGGTCCATATTCCAAAGGCGGTAAAACTCTGCAAAGTCTACATAGGATTCAACGCGCCCATCTTCATCCGGCCTGAGAGAATGAGAAGGACGAGAACGGAAAAGGCCTCCATCTGAGCTTGAGCTGCTACTCTGGGTATGAGTGTTAGTAGACTGAAGAGTCATAGTAGGACTTTGACTGTAGGCAAAGCCATCAAGTGAGAAAAAAAGAAAGAAAAACAAACATTAACTCAATCTTCACAAATGACACAGCAAAAATAATTTACAATGGGACCTCTCAAAGCCTCCCCCACCTCCAAGGCATCTCTGCACAATAACTTAACAGCCACAATGGGGAGAACTGGGATTGTGATAATTGAGCAAGATGATCACATAGATGTCTCCCTTAACAACCATGACTTGTGATGAAAATTCTGAGTTCAATTCTGTGATCATAAGTAGAGGACTACTTGTATTCATCTTGTTGGGAGACCCTAGGAGAGCAGATTTAGATTCTGAAAGGCTTTTTAGATTTAACTTTATTGCTGTTCTTGTTGACACAAGGAATGTGTCAATTTTTGTCAGTTTTTAGATGAAAAACACTCTTCATATGTACTATTACAAGCCATGTTTTCCCTAATCCCATGCCTGTCACTTCATCCCTTTCCCCCCATGCAGGACTAATTTCTCCTTTGTTCATTTTGCCCAATTGTTCAAGCTTGCCTAAGCTTGTCTTTGTAATCTTCTCTTTTTCTTTTAAATGTTAGCCACTTCTAGTTTTGTGTCACTAGAAAATTATGTAATTATTCTCTCAATTCTTTGAGAGAAGAGATCAAGTTGAGGTCATTAACAAAAATGTTGAACAGCACAGGGCTAGGAAGTTTACATTAAGCAGCAGCTAGGAAAAAAAATGTAACACATCCAGTATTCCATGGATAACAGGAATAAAGGGCAACAGAGAATAAAACTTAGCAGGGAACATTTACTTGGTAAGTGTGGGTGTGGCTTCATCCAGTGTAGAGCTACTGTGGGCACCATTGACCATCTGGCCTTGGGAAGGCATGACAAGTGATAAAGTCACACTGGTCTTGCTTGTGCTCTGAGTACTAGAATATGGCACTGACACAGGATAGACACGACCACCTAGAGATAGCGAAATACGTCATGAAAAGAATGGGTAAATTGGAAAATACTATCCTAAGCCAAATCAAAATCTCACAAGAGGTTTATAATGCTCCTTTTTATATGATCCTCCTTGTTTATATGCTTCTCTTTCACACAACCAACTGGGGGAGAGTACAGGTCTAAATCTGTTGCTGTTTTTCACATACAATTTCTGTTGTAGAAATGTTTAATTTCCCCATACCTTGTGTTGGAGTCAGTGTGGGCTGGCTCATCTCCCCTAGTGGGTACCCAAAATTTCTTACTAGGACTGTCATGTCTTCATGCCGAGAGCAGAATTTGGACCGTTCACCACCACTGGCATAGGTATCACAGTGAATACGCTTAACTCGATCCACAACTGCTTGAGCTACAGAATCCAATGAGGTTTGTTTGGCAAACTCTGTGGCAATCATGGCTGCAATTTCCTGGAATCACACAAAAATATGTTGGCACTAATGTGATTAATGGAAAGCCCTGAGGATGTTTCTCCCATCACTTAGGAGTTACTTATTTGTGAGCAGTCCCAATGCAGCTGCAGCTTAGACGTATGTGTGTGTGTGTGTGTGTCCTGCTCCAAAACAGACACTCGACCAGAACAAGTATCACATGATCAAAATCCTGAGAATCAGATCTAGCCATCATGGCTGGGCTCTTAAAGCGGCATTATATGAAAGCTGCTCATGGCTAAACAGCTCCCAAAGATCTGGATAAACACTAGGAGGACATCTCAGTAATCCATCTAAAGTGGAAAGGTTTAAAACCTAATAAGCTTTTTATCAGATTACATGAAAGGACTGCACATTCTTCATGCAAGTATGTGTGTACATACAAAAAGCCTTCTATCAATGGAGATATGGATATGTTTTATTTGTAGGTTGCCACATATATTTTTCTCTTCCAATAAAACCTTCTCGTTTTTTAAATATAATTTCATTGAAAGTTTTAAAAACAAGAATAAAAATTAATATAAGCTAAACAGAATCAGAAAGAAAAAAGAAAGAAAACTAAATTGCAAAGAGAAAAAATAGTAGAAAAAAAAGAAAAAAGTGGCTTTCAATCTTAAAGCAATTGTAAGTTCAATTGTAAATTTAGCTCTTTCTCTAAAATTACATAACAACTCTCTTCTGTCTAGAATCTATCCTATTTGATTGTCAAAACCATACCTCATACTTTTTGTTTTGTTTTACACAAAAAAAACAGTAGGGAGTTTTAAGTCAACAATAAATGTAGATATTGTCTTCTCTAATCCCAATGTAGTCCTTTCAAGCTCCCTACATACACGAATAAGAAATGGATGGAGGGAAGGAAATTACTATAGGTCTCTGGGACAGATCTGAATGTCAGGTTCTTATCTAAGTAGTCAAAAATTACTGCTTGTGTCTCTCTGGTAGAACTACCAGTAATGGAGAGAATGTGATGCTTTTCCTGAGGACGTAGGTTTGTATTCCTAAAAATATTCTTATTAATTATTTAACAGGGGCTCAGTTACATCATAATTTCTATTCCGGTATGCATTATTTCATACACTTTATATACAAAGCAACAACTTTTAAAGGAAAAGTTTAAATCATTATTGTTCTACGTGGCCCAAACCAATATAGATCATTTGTTTCTACTAAAAATGAACTCAATGAGGTTTATGCTTTTAAAACAGAGTTATTACTAAACTACAGAAGGTGATACAATATTAGAAAAGAAGATTCACCTCCAATAAGTTATTGGCTTTTTAAAGAAATTAAGTAAAAAACATATTACAATCTATTTGGGATATGAAAAGGAATATATATGTATGTACGTATGTATATATTTTTCTTATTCTTTAAAAAAACTGTGTAACAATAATCCTTTATCAAAACATGATTTTTTAAAAAAACACCAAGATGAATGATCACATTACCATAAGATCAGTCCATTTTTACGTTATATCTTTCACTTCAAGAAATTATCATTATAGTTATGTAATTGGGGAAGGTTTCTGGATATGATAGCTTTCCAAAAATGTTAGAACAAATATTTATTGTATCCAACTTAAAGGGGCTTTCCATATTTATTCCGCTATAGTGGAATATACAGGATGATGAATACTTTTCTCTGGCAAGGGCATTCAGTGAAATGTTGACTGTATAATGTATAATTTGATACAACAGGAATCTTTAACTTCACACTTTCGTCGTTGGCATTTATCCTAATTTTGGTTCCTATTTGGAATAAGGCTCTTTAGAATTCCGCTTCTCTTTGGGCTCAAGAACTACTATCTGACAAATACTATTTCTGCAAAGCTTTAATTCTTGATTTAATGCTGCAGAACATATATGAAAAATAACAGGCCACAGATAGAATTTTGATCAATCAATGTAAAGCTTCTTTTGTGAAATTACTTCAGTTTAAAACTAGCATCTAATCCTGTTTTCTGGGTAATCGTGGTCTCTCATTACTGCTTCAAATCAATTCTGAAGAAATATTTCTAAAATGCAGATTCAAAAAATGAATTTGATTTTTCCCAGAATGCTTACAAGCAATTTAATAAAATTAAAATTAAAACTATTATTTAATTCTGATGCAATCACAACTTCTGACATTCTATGATGGTTAAAAGATTCTGGAATTAGCAACTTAGGCATCTAAGCCAGTAACCCTTCTTTACTTGAAGGAATTTGATACAGTTGATAGAGTTATTATGTGACCCCTGGAATAAGCAGGTTATCGTGTTCCAAGATAAACCAATAAACCAACGGTGGTTGCACTTTAGAATATGAAATTTGTTTCCTGCATTCTAAATATGACATTAATAAAACACCAGATTTCATTCTGTTTATACTGCACATCTTAGAGAGACTGTTCAGTTCAACAGTCAATAAGTTATTGGCCATGCATTTACAAGAATGGTTCATCTATAATGCTCTACAGTTATCCACAGATTATTAAGCACTCAGAATTGAAGCCCTTCTGTTTAGATCTGAAGACAATAATGTGGTGCAAAAGAACAATTTTTAATTGCTGTGGAGTCAGTACCTGATTGGCTTGTCCAGGTCCATGAGCAGCTTCTAGAGCTTTGTACAGTCCTTCTGACATGAGCACAAGAAAGCCTGTGACGCCATCTAATGGATGCCCGCCATGGATTTCAGGCTCTGCTATGATGGGCTTAGATTTTGCAGCACTTCAAAGAGAAATTAGTACTATATTATGCAATGAAAAAGGATTTCTCAATGCAATAAAATCAAATAGAAATAAGAGTAAGATGCAAACAAGCTTTAACTTACCTAAGAAATTCAATATCACTATAGCCATATTTGACCTTATAATCTCCAATACGCCGAGTACTTTCTTGCCCACCTATGGTTCCTACTTGTTTTATTTTTGCTGCATCTAAACCTGCCAGGGCATAAAATAAAAACCTCATTGATTTAGGTACATGTGCTAAAGAGTTTCCATTTGCATTCCAAGTCATGGGACAGCAATGTCAGCTGGAAAATTAACTAATCAATGAGGGAAGAGATCATGAATTTGGAAAGGACTACAAGACCGAGAACAGACTTTCATCATTAGTTATTTATTGGTAAGAAAATGCAGACTCATATTCTAGACACTGCTTCTTACCCTGGATGTTCTTATACAATCTAGTATCACTGCATTTGCAAACTGATTAGTCAACCTTTTTTTCTGAAAACATAATATAAATCAGCTTTCACTGCCTTCATAAATTAAAACAACTATAAATCAGAGAATTCAGGAAAAAGTTAATATACTTCAAACCATTTTAATCATATTGCAGTTCATTTCATACAACAATTTAAACTAAATCAAAATATTTATAATTTATTTTCTTCAGATTTATCATTCATTTTTCTATCCCATTCTAAGAGCTGTGCACTGACTTGATTGCTCCAAAGGAAAAATTGAAAGCTACCTAAGAAATCTTAGTTTAAGATGCCAATAAAATCTAGAATAATTTACTTAAGTCAGTTTTGAGGGGAATAGAACATTGAAATTTCCCATGTCTAATAAATATAATTTATGAGTTTTATTTCCCACACTTGATTTTTCAGCCAGCATATTGTTCTGTTAAATAATTCCAACAACTTCTCTGTGAAATTTTTTTATCTGAATACTAATTCTGAAATTAACTAAAATCTAGGTGTACCAGCAGGCTGCCAAGGCTGTGAATAGCAGAGCAATCCAGCACAACATAAAAACAAGTGTGCTTCCTGCCAACAGAAGAAGATGGGATAATGTTCTCTAACCTTGGGCTAATCTTCATTTTGAATTATTTTTTTTTACTTAGAAAGCAAACACAGATGAAAATACAATGTTTGGGAGAGAGGGAGACCCCCAAAGCTCAACTGTAGAGCATGTGTTTTGTACATAGTAAGCCATGGATTCTACATTTATCATCTTCAATTGAAAGATTCAGGAAGGAGAGATAAAAGACACCTGACTCAAAACCTCTACAAATCAAAATAATACCTAGATAAGGGAGAGCGGGACAGAATATTTTGTTACTATAATTTACCTCTCAGGAGAACACATCATGAAAAATGATTTCCAAATACACCTACAGTGATTGATAACATTTAGCAGAAAGCTCTTCTACCAATAATTTGGGGATTTTACTTGCTACCTTGGATGTGAGCAGCCATTTAATAGTGTGCTCTGGATGCCAAAAAAGAAAAAGAAAAGAAAAAAATTAGAAAACATAGGAAGGGTTTGGGCTTTTTTTTTTTTTTTTGCTTATTACCAATTGTTGAATATCTGCTTTTCCAAAGATAAATAAATGTCTGAGCTTAGGAATTTCTAAATAACAGAAAATCATTTAATTAACCTGGGTTTGACTCCTAGTGACTGCATAGATCAGGGCTCACTTATTGAAAGCAACTAGGTTTTTTGTGAATGTTTTTCTGCACCACGTATAATAAATATTGGAACAAATTTAAATATTTATGTATTTGATTTAACTATACATTCTCTGTAATCGGGAATACTACAACTGAGACTAAATAAAATATTAGTTTTGCCACCTGTGGTGGCAACAAAAGGCTTCTTCAACTACTCTGGTTTTCAGATATTCAATTATATATTTCCTATAGTGGGAAGGAGAGAGATTACTATCTTCACCTGTACAATTGGGCATGCTTTAGCTTGACACTGCTAACCAGAGAACCCATCAATAAGAGTGATATTTGTAGGGAAATAAAACAAAAATAAAAACCTCAGCAAAAAAAATCTTATTTTGGAATCTCTTCCCCCTTACTGCAGGGAGGTAATCTGGGATCTATTTACAAAACTCACAATACTTTTTTTATAGTATGAAAACTGATATTAAACTGCTCCATAAAAACCCTGATATATTTTGTTTCATCCAAGTCTGTTTCAAATTAAAATGTCAATTCTTGAGGCTGGTGAGGGCTTTTAAAGCATTCTTCTAGATTTTTTTTTCCTCCATGGCTTTGCCTACTTCTGTATCATGGCTTCAATCAACTGCTTGTGTGATTATTTTTAATTAGTTAAGAATCATAGAACTGCACATGACTCTGGGTTACTAGGTGTTTAAAGGCTCACCTATTAATGTCCCCAATAATAACTCATAGTTCTTACAACAGAGTTCCAGTAATCCAATGTACCATATCCATGGTTTATTTCCTTCCATTTTGTCAAGAATGCTAATTTTTAACTAGTTCATCATATATTCACCTCACATTCCCAAATTATATGAAGTCAGCTTTTATTTGATCCAAGACTGGTTGAATTGATTTTATTCTGGGTCATGGTGTTCTTAGTAACAGCCAGGGAAACATTTCTTACCCAGTTGTGAAAAGCGGAATAATTCATCTTCATTCTCGGTAGTGTGGTCCATATTGAGCTGTGTCACCTGCAATCCATCCATGGTAGATTTGCACAAAAGTGCACGGTTTGTTCCTATAAAGAGAGAACGTACAATACAAAGCCAGAAACTGTAACTGACCACTACCGCCTCATGACCAAAGATCTTTTTGTTTCTTGCCAGGAAACTGTACAATTCCAAGTTGTTTCATACAGCTCTTGTTTGTGGCCATTTGAGAAATCAGAGAAGCATTTTCCTTGGATAAATCTATTGTCATCCAACCAACCAACTCTCATCACTCAATGCTGAGCTCAGAAAGTGCCAAGTCAAAAGAGTATAGAAGAGGAACACACCTACATTAGCGATATAAAGTTTGTTGTTAAGAATCACTGCCACAATGGCCATGGCTCCTCCAGAAATTTCCTTTTCTACGGATCTCAACCTCTCCAAAATTTTCTGGTACTGAGGAGGCAGCTGGTGATGGGGAACCCCCTAGAAAACAAAGCCATAACTAAGCTTCTCAGCAATATAATTTGGGAACCTTCTATGCACCAGAAGAATTGCTCTGTTTATAATTTTCTTCACCTATATACCTGTCAAGCAAGGAAAATACATCATGCATTTGACAAAAGTGACTCCAGTCCACAAAGTTTGTGCCAAAACAAATGAGCTAGTCTTCTAAAATGCTACATTTTAATATAAAAAGAACAAACACATAACATTTGACAGGATCAAAATAAGGTATCAAACAACAAAGGCATTCAATTGTATTTAGTCTAACCATCTCTATTATTAGGTTAAAATTGTTAAAACATTTCCCTCTCAAAATACATGTGCTAAGTGTGAAACAGAATTTCCAGTTAATTTAATAGTTATAAACATAGGACATTAAAGGATTTTGTGTGTGTGTGCCTTTGAGTAAGTGTTGATTCCTGGTGACTGCCTGGACAAGTACCTGCAGTTCTCTGGACAAGATTTTAAAAGTAATTTGCCACCATTTCCTTTTTAGAGTTGGGAGAATATGATTGGTTCAAGATCACTCAGTTTGCTTCATATCTAAGGCAGTACTAAAACTCATAAATCTTCTAACCTGGAGCTTTAACAACTACATCCAAGTATCTCTCAAAGGACTACATTAATTCTTAATTATTTAATAGACTACAACAGTGATGGCGAACCTTTTAGAGACCAAGTGCCCAAGCTGAAAGCCAAAACCCACTTATATATCACCGGGTGCCAGGTGGGTGTTAACCCACTGGGTGAGTGTGGCAGACTGGGTGGTCATGGCCAAGGTGGGTGTGGTCACCTTGAAGTTGCTCGTGGGGAGGGACACCTGTGAGGGCCGGGCAGGGTTGGGGGAGATCCAGGGGGTCTCTGGCAGGTGGGGCAGTAGGCAGGAGGCTCGTCCTGCAGGGTGAGGTGAGGCAAGGTGAGGCAGGGGTGCCATTGTCGCAGGGCAAGGCAAGGCAGGGGCCGGGGTGGCTGCTGCCTGACACCATTGGCCCCCGCACACAGAGGCCAGCAAGCACATGGGGGGGCGACAGCCTGCCAGCCCCTTGGCCGGCATATTCTGGGGCTCCGCAGCCCACCACCAGCAGTTCAGAGAAGCCACCTGAGCTGGACGGACGGCCGACCCGAGGAGGCAATGCAGTGGGTCATGCCAGGGAAAAGGAAAGCATGCAAGGCCAGGAGGGATGGGATGGGATGAGGGGGAGGGAGGGAGAGAAACCAGCTGTGCTGGGATGCATCCGGCGACATGGGACCTCAGCAAGTTAGTGGGTGGGTGGTTGAAGAGGGATGGTTGCCATCTCTGGGGCATGGCACGCGTGCCCACAGAGAGGGCTCCAAGTGCCGCCTCTGGCCCGTGTGCCATAGGTTCACCACCACTGGACTACAAGGACCCAGTTTTGTGAATGCAGTATTTATATTCTATTATTCCAGCTTCTACTCACATAGCACTTATCTACCCACATTCTAAAATAATATATAAACAATTAGAGTTTCCAAAAATGAAATGCAAAGTCAACATTCCTTGAATTGCCTAGTAAGATGTTGAGTTACCTCTGGTAACTGGGATTGGAGGCTGGCTTTTTCTGCCAATGCATCATCAATGGACTCCAAGAAACTTCTTTCTACCACATCAAAGGCCTGAAGAGGTACCAGAAATAGATTAATAGAAGTAGCTTATTAGATCTCCAAATATTTATAGACAGTTATATAGAAATAATCAGAATTCTTTCTTTCTGTCAAATATATCATTTTCTAGGAATTTCCTAAATGTGCTCGTACCATGCACATACCAAAGAGAATATATCTGTGAGAATACACCTTACATCTTTGTTTCTGCCAAAATATCCCACTCTCATCAGCACAGTTTAATATTATATTTATTTTCTCTTCCAGTAGACAAACAGGCTAAAATTTCTAATTGCCAGAATAAATAAATAAAATAGGCAGATAAAGAAAATACGTAAAATGTGTAAAAATAACTACAAGGTTTGAGGATTGGCTTCAGAGATCCAAAATCAGTCATTTTCCTCAATAAATAAATGAATAAGTGTAATGTTTTCACCTCATTTAATTGGATTCTCTTTATCTAATTTTAGGCTTGTATGAAAAACAGATCACATTTCAAATTATATCTATGCAGAGATATTAAAAATTCAAAAGGGTTCACAAATTTGTAAGCACCACTGTAGCACTATTAAATGGTCTCTCCAGAGCACTTCTACTGCTCTTCTGATATACAAAAGCACATTTATTTTCCGGGACCCTCTAAACCACAAATTCTTTTTATCAAATCCTTTAGAATATTTGTGGGTTTTGTCACAGATTTGTTTTTAAACTGATTTTGCATTTTTAACACATCAAGAGATAGAAATGGGGCACCTACATATACTAAGGTCTTTGTGACTTTACTAAATGGTACTTGGCCCTATTTTAAACCTTATACCATTTTAAGAAACTTTCTATTGCTACTACTACTACTTTAGAGTTCTTAGCACAGTATCATACAATAATAATTCCACTACATGAAAAGAATGCTGAACTGTTGTGTAGTTTTAATTTAAAGATGTGCTCTAAAAAAGAACAGCATGATTTCTCTAAAGAAAGAGACAACCACCAAAGAATTTCATTGGATAACCTGAGATTATTTCTTGAAGGTTTTAATTTATCAGATTTTCCACAACTGAGCATTTATTTGATCTTTATGAAATGAGAACCGAGTATAAATCTCCAATAGGTACATTGGAAAGTGACTATGTATCTCTGTTAAGAATCCAGCAAGTACTTTTATATTCAAATACCAAAAAACATTTTTATTTCCTGACTTATGTGAAACTAAAATATGTTTGGGCTTCATTTAAGTTATATTGGATTTTGGTGTTAAATCTCATGAATATATAAATCTGTGGAATATTTTTTTAAAAAAAAATGTTTGGGAAAATGTTCTATTAAAAGACATGGGAAGATCCTTGATTTAAATAACTATTTAAATCAAACATTTTGTAATAATTATTTTAAGGATTTTAAATAACTATAGATAACATTTTTCCTTGCTAACATATCTCAGTAGCAATATGTTCAACTTAGCATGTTTTGATTTCTCAGGATGGATCAGACAGCTGCTTCAGAGAAATCTCAAAATGCTATCATTTTTATACTGTTTATTGTTGAAATTAAACCAGGTCCATATCAAAAATTCAAAAACTGAAGTTGAATTTACTGATATTTCTAAGTTATGGAATAAGAGTTGAATACTTAATAATGGCTTATCAATGGGTCTAAATGTTTAAATATTACTTCTTTGAAATTAAGGCTTCAAAAGATTTTATTCCAAGTCTACTGAAGTCCTCAAAGCTGACAGAAAGCAGACAGCAGATTGTTGGTGTTATAAAAAAAAATGAGGGTATATTGATTCAATTTCATAATTTGTTGGATATTATTTTTTTCCCTATTCTTTTATTTTTCATTTAGAAATTGCAATATAGTTATACATAAAGAGACGGTTCTATTACCTGCAACAGGATTCTGCGCACCTCTGCCTCATCCTGCTCTGCATTCAGCTGGCCCAACAGGAGTTCTGCAGAAAGCCGCTCTCCCACAAAGTTTGTGATTCGGTTACCATCATAACCATTAAAGACTCCATAGAGGTAGCAATTATTCTCACTTCTGCCAAAATGAGTCAGGATAGGTAAGCAGTGCTCTTTCTTATGTAATCAGAGTACAGCCAGAGAAAACCAAACAAAAGAATGAGAAAACTGTACCCTTGTGCAGTTCAACAGTTCCATTCAAATCTGTGGCTACTTACCTGAATTTCAACCAGTTATCCTCTAAGGGATGAATTTCAGTGCCTTTTCCATCAGTAGTGTAGGAACGATTAGAAGCTGAACCCACACCAGAGAGCTGACAGAGCGGCAAATCATCTGTCCAGCTTGAAAGCTGCTCCTAAATATTTACAAGAAAGAAGCTCAATTTTTCAATAAAAGCAAATGGAATGATGGCATACTAATCAGAATGCCTTATCAGAGTTACACCATTGAAACACAAGAACCTTTTTGTACTTATATAGATCTTGCCACTTCAACCATATTTTCTCTGCTATTGCATCACTTACTTTCTTATTGCCTGTTCTTTGAAACCTCACTCCAGCTATTAAATACCTATGTATGCATACTGTACACTAACATCTGAATATACATATCATATCCTGCAAAACTAGTAAGAGGCATACATTTTAATTACCATCATTTAATTGTTTTTCCATGCATAATTCAAACATTAATACTCTTCTTGCATTTCTAAAATAGTTACTCTCCAGAAAGCCACAACTCTTCTCCTCCAGTATATACCAGTACATGGATTGCAGAGGGGATATCTGTCTGTCCACCACAGAACTGTAAGATGTTAATTTAGAATCATCTTCCCTAGAAACGCTGCATAAGTATTTACAAAGTAGTTCCTTTTTTTAATATGAGTCTAAGGGCAAGAGTGCAAATAATGAGGTTGGAAGTGGCAAGCTAACAGAAATCTGCAAATCCTTCATTTAGATCTTTATAGGCACTACTCACAACTAATGCTGAATTGAACTTGACTATATTGTGCAAGCCAGAGAGAGAAATATAATTATCTTTCTATATTACTAATATCCTAAGAGCACCAGAAGTTCTTTTATTACCAGTGTTTTTCCTTTAATCTTTATACTGGAGAAAATTATCCCAACAAAGCTGATGCAAAATAGGATTGCAGAATAATATATTAATGCACAAAGTAATGAATAGTGCAACTGGTGTATCTTACTGATATGCTGCATCTTATGAGAATGACTGTTTTGATTTCACTTAATTTTTCCCCTGATAAAGTAATAAAATAGGTCTATATTCCTGGGGGTAGGAATGGGAGTGGGAAAACATTAATTTTTCGTTTTCATGCATATTTTATTAAAATTATGACCATGAAGTTGCTCCGATTCTGTTAGTTTCTAATTTGCAAGTTTTATTGCCAACTGTATGCGGAAGAATAAGGGGGGGGGGGAGAAGATGCAGCATTTTCTCACCCGGCACCTGCAGGTAATAAAGGATATCTGGTTTCATTCAAGAGTTTGGAAGACAAGTTAGGACCCAGCCTATTTACACGCCCCATATTTTGCACCTTACGGGAATGGAGCGCGAACCCGCCTTTCGCAACGGTGCCTCTTCTGGCGGTGATGGCTACAATGCCTGTACTTCCAAGTCAACACAGCCTATCGCGGGAGTTATATCCAACGCATTTGGATGCGCCCCACCGAGGAAAGCAAGAGAAACTAGTGAGGCAGAGGTAGGAGTTCCCTCTGACAACCATGCAGCCAAGGGAATTTCAAAGTGGCACCTTTTCTCCTTGGCGCATAGAAAACGACGCATCCCAAAATGCTGCATCGCGTACGGCGTCATTAAAGGGGAACCCTTATTCCTTTGGCTGATTACTTCCACGGCTGAAAGGGAGCACAACGTGCACCTCTGCCTGCACGCCCATCCTTTCTGTTATTGTTGCAGGAAAGTATCCCTCCCTGTGTGGGCAAGGCAGCGACACAAGAAGCCCGCGAGCCACCCGACTCTTCCCTTAAATCCGGGAGTGGTACTTTCCTCCCCCCCGCCCCGCAGCGCCCCTCTCGTGATCACATAGAAAAAGCGGAGCTGCTCACACTCTGCAAAAGACTCCTCCTCACTGCCGCCATCTTTACGCAGAAGCAAGACTCTCCTCCCATCCATCGGCGGGCAAGAGAGGTTGGATCGGACTGCAGGAAAGGCTCAGGATGACCATCGAATGTAGTTTTATCCTGCGGAATTGGTTCTGCTTTCCCTCGGTCGACAGCGCCCTCGAGAGGATGGGAGGAAGTATTGAGGCTGGTTGCTTTGCTCTTCTGCATTTTATCTTGCGTATCGGATTTTTTTAAAAAAATATACACTATCTATTTGCAGCAGGAAATTTGTCGATGTAGTCCTCGGTTACCATAGCGGATATGCTGTATTTTGCAGATAAAACAGGAGGAGTGCCTAGGACATCAGCGCCAACTGGCTTTCTACATGTATTTCTAAGCCTTGCGCTAGAAGGCCTCCAAGGTCCTTTCCAGATCTATTCTGATTGATTGATTGGTCTGTTTGATCAGCAATGGCTGTACATTGTACATTTTCACAAAATTGGAGGTTTTTAAATATGCGAATCAGATGTTAGATCATCTCTGAGAAATTTCAGTAGCCTACAAAATATTATCTTGTGATAATTGCTTGTTACCTTTGGTGCCTTCTTCTTACTGCAATTTTGCTTAAGTTTTAAGTTTACCACTCATTATCATAGTGTTTAAGGTCCTGGCTTTAGTCTGGAGAGACCGATTCCAGGTCCCTTTCATAGAACTTACTTGCACTTACTTGGACTTCAGTAAGGCATTTGATAAAGTAGACCACAACCTACTACTTGATAAGATAGAAAAATGTGGGTTAGACAGCATCACCACCAGATGAATTCTTAGCTGGGTGACCGAATACTCAGTGTGTGGTCCTCAATGGAATTGTATCTCCATGGAGGGAAGTGTGTAGTGAGGTGCCCCATGGCTCTCTTCTGGGTCCAGTGCTCTTCAACATCTTCATCAATGATTTGGATGAGGGGATAGATGGGGAATTCGTCAAATTTGCAGATGACACCAAGCTGGCAGGAATAGCCAACACTCCAGAAGATAGGCTTAAAATACAGAAAGATCTTGAAAGACTTGAACATTGGGTTCTATCTAACAAAATGAAATTCAATGGTGAAAAAAGTAAGGTTCTACATTTAGGCAAGAAAAACCAAATGCACAGGTATAGTATAGGTGGTACCTTGCTCAATAGTGGCAACTGTAAGAGGGATCTTGGAGTCCTAGTGGACAATCACCTAGATATGAGCCAGCAGTGTGCTGCAGCTGCCAAAAAAGCCAACAAAGTGCTAGGCTGCATTAACAGAGAGATAGAATCAAGATCATGTGAATTGTTAATACCACATTACAATGCCACATTTGGAATACTGCATCCAGTTTTGGTCACCACGATGTAAAAAAGATGTTGAGACTCTAGAAAGGGTACAGAGAAGAGCAACAGAGATGATTAGGGGACTGGAGGCTAAAACATATACAGAACGGTTACTGGAACTGGATATGTCTAGTTTGATGAAGAGAAGGATGAGGGGTGACATGATAGCAGGGTTCCAATATCTCAGGGGCTGCCACAAAAAAGAGAGAATCAAGCTGTTCTCCAAAGTGCCTGAAGGCAGGACAAGAAGCAACGGATGGAAACTAACCAAAGAGAGAAGCAACCTAGAACTAAGGAGAAATTTCTGACAGAACAATTAATCAGTGGAACAACCTGCCTCCAGAAGCTGTGAATGCTCCAACACTGGAAATTTTAAGAAGAGACTGGACAGCAATTTTTCTGAAGTGATATAGGGTTTCCTGCCTGAGCAGGGGGTTGGACTAGATGACCTCCAAAGTCCCTTCCAACTTTATTATTAACTCCCTAGTTGGTTTAATACCAGTTACTTTCAGCCTGATCTATCTGCCAAGGTTGTTGTAAAGATAAAAGGATTAAATGAGGGGAGTTCCTCATGAGTTACTGGAAAAGTGGGAGATGAATGAATGAGTTTGTGACAGACTTTAGAACATCCAAGCCAGGTTTTACAAGCAGTATGGCCTCTCTTCCAGGGTTGTCCCCAAAGGCCCTATTGTGAATCTTGCAGAACTGTAAAGTAAATGGATTAGCTCTTGAATGGCCTGGAGCTAGTAGATCAACCAGCTGACTGTGAACCTGAGTTTTGTGCTGAAATGCTTTGGAAAATTGGTAAGAGAAGGCTTCCTGCCATTACAGTACCCTAGCTATTCAGTGTCATACAGTCAGTGTCATACAGTCATGCAGTCAACTTACAACAGTTTGTTTAGTAACCTTTGAAATTACAGCAGCACTGAAAAAAAGTGATTGTGACTGTTTTTCCACACTTAGGACCATTGCAGCATCCCCAAGGTCACATGATCAAAATTTAGATGCTTGGCAATTGACTCATAGTTATGATGGTTGTAGTGTCCCAGGGTCATGTGATCACTTTGACAAGTCCACGGAGAAGCCAGATTTACTTAACCATGTTACTAACAGTTTCAGTGATTCACTTAACAACTGTGGCAAGGAAGGTCATAAAATGAAGCAAAACTCACTTAACAAATGTCTTGTTTAGCAACAGAAATTTTGGGCTCAATTTTGGTTGTAAGTCAACAACTAGCCACTTCCTAATAGAAATCTATTAATGTCCCAGCAAGAATGTGTTTCGAAAATCTTAGCCATTGGAAAAATCAGATGATCAAATGAATCCAGTGGTTTGTTATCTTTCCCCCTTGATTGTACCCAAATGCCTCTGCACACAATAGGCTGACAAGATTTGCTATTGCAAGTATAAAGTATTAGAACTCACCATCCTAATGACTAGAAGCAACTGCCTCATAAGGACAAGCAGCCAGATCTTTGAATGGAGGAGCCTCTGTTTTAGATTACCCTGAAAAGTTCTTTTCTGCCACTGCTGGCTAGTATAAGCCACATAAAAAACAAGATCTGAGGCTGGGTGCTCTTGGTTCTTTTCCCTCCCCATTTTCTCAGAAAACACATTTTGGTATTGGGTGGACAAAAGCTTTCAGGTTGGAAAATAGAGATAAAAAATTTCAGATAAAGTAGGATTATGCATCTTTTCTCATATCAAGAGCCACTTTTCTTGGGGCCTGCTTCAAAAATCAGACAAGGCTGGGGAAAACAGATGGTAGAACCAGTTAGGTGAAGAGATGAAGGTGTTGAGCTGAGACATGGGATCTGGATTCAAGACAGTGGTGTACTGAAACTGGACTTGTACCAGCTTGCAAGAACCACTGGTTAAATTTTCAGGAACAGTCAGAGCAGAGCAGAGCTGTGACACATAGGATGCTGATTTGGCAGACTACTGATTCAAGCCCACCTTGCACCAGATAGCACTTTGTGACTTTGATCAGCCATTTTTTTCAGCCCAATCTATTCTACAGGGGAAAAAAATTAAAAGGAAGGAGTATTGTATATGCCAGTTTCAGCTTCTGGAGGAGAATTGGGATATACATCTAACAAATATGATTAAAACTTGATTTGATTTTTGGTGCCAAAATGATTGCCTGTCACCTTAAAGATTACAATTCTGTAACAGTTTTTGAAAGATTCTGGGAACTGTTTCAAAGTTTTCAGGGCTGCATGTGGCTTTGAGGCCACAAATTGTGCACAGTCATTTGAACTAATGTAATAATTTAAATTTGAGAAAATGAAAATTTCCGAACACTCCTGTTACAATTTTCAATGTAACAATTTTATTGGTAAGATATCAGTTATCACCTTCACTTGTTTTTTTTAATAACCACAAACATACAGGACGTCATAAACAGAGGTGCCAACAGGTCAGGGTTTCTTCTATTAGTCAGCAGGAAGAGATACACCGAAGAGGATAAAATGAGTGGAGCTATGAATTCACTGAATATTTGGGGATCCTGTATGGAGCAAGCCACTCTTTCATTGCCACAAATGTGTATTAGTGTGTATATAGAGTTCTATATTATACATCTTTACATATAATATATATACTATACACGGGCAGTAATGCAATAGATTAAGGATAGACTCCCGAGTCAATGATTCTGGGACAAAGATTGTGAGAACTGTATGTATTGCATGATGTAAAATGAACTGGTCTATGATTTCTTATTCTCTTCCAGCTTAATTTCATAAGATCACCCAAAGTAGTCATTCTTTGCATCTGAAATCATGCTTGGGAATGTACAGAGATCTAGCAGCATCAAATACCAAGAACCACTATCCACTATTATTAAAAAAACTAGGGAAAAATATAAAGGTTGGAGAAATGTTAATTTGGTTTCAATAGTCAATAAATAATTGGACTGGATATCCATTATTTCTTAATTGTACATAATAATGATACTGGTCTGCAGATGAGATATGTATTCAAGCACTTCCCTATTTGCTGTGCATAAAAAAAATTACAAGCCAACCTTTATGCATGTTAGCCTAGTACAGCTCTATAGCAATATAAGGCAACTCACCAAACCTTCAATAAAGAACCTACATTGTTTCCTAGCAATCTTCTTCATCTGGATGATGGATATTTACTTTGGGGGCTTTCAACTTCACCAGATAGACCAGATTAGAAAATCAATTCCATAGGAAGGCTAAAATTACTTTTATTGTGGTTGGCCATAATAACAGAATGTTGCAAATCTGATTGTACTGTATCTCCTGTTCCTTACACTCCAGTGAATTAGAGAGGTGTCTGTCTGAGCCAAATAGTATTTACTGTACATTTAAGATACGCTTCACCCCTCGTATTGTTTTGGCAATGGAGCTTGCACATCTCTATCAAGGTCATCTTTCTTACTCTGCAGTGGCTCAGAAGTTGTGCAGATATAAACAAAGATATTAAACAAAATCCCTATACGCTGATCAATCGAATTATCAACATTTATGTGCTTGTATTCCTCTGAACAATTACAATCTGAGGATAACAACTGATACTTTAGAAATATAATGTAATGTTTCAGTACCAATATTTTATTTCCAAACTGTTTCACATTAGGTCAAGCAGCCAAATTATATTAGAATTGCCCCACAAGGAATACATTAGTGTAAAGGGCATATGTATGATTCTAAAGAGGCATAGCCATCTGGCAGGAAGCTAAGTTAAATGACAACTCATTGAGCATGACCTCTATGCATAAGTGTTGTTTATCCATTCCTCATGATTTATGTGAAAACGGAGCTAAACAGAGGTAATTCAATTGCTTTATAATTCAATATGCAGTGGCTGTAATCTTGTGTCAGAAATTAATGCAAAGATTCCAGTGATATATCAAAGAGGAATCATCACAATGCTGAATTCATTATAATAGTGAGCTCTTACTTGGGGGAGGAAGTATATGTTGTTATGCCCCAGTTGTGTGAATTTTCTTGTTATTGGGTCTTTGTCAGGAAGGATTATTATTTATTTTATTGTTATTGGCTGCCTGGAGTTGGATTTTTGCAAATTGGGCAATCATATGAATATTTAAATAAATAAATAATATAGCTTCTATATAGCTTCTGAGTAGCCAAAATGTCTCTCTTGATGGTGGACTTTTTTCTACAGAAAGCCCTTTTATTGTTCGAATAAAAGGCTTGTATCATGTAGTAGTCAGTGTTACTGTTTGGGTATGTTCAATTTAAAAAAATAATGGAAGTAAGCCAGACTGACATCTGATGCTCTTTGAATGAAACAGAAAATGTTTCAAAAGAGAACACAAAGAGAGAATCATTACTGAACTTTTTGTAAGAAGGAAGATTTAAGACAGACATTGGCCATGCCCAGATTAAGGGCATAGTATTTATTTTAAAGTGAAAGATTCAATACCCTTAATTGCAATCCTGGTTTGCAGGGTGATGGAAATTAGCTAACATTTTCATCATGGTCAGGTGTGCCCCTTTTCTAGACTTTGCAATAGATACTGAATGACTGGGGTAAGCTCCTATTTGGATTTAAAATGATATCCATATGGGAAAGGAAAAGTGGCATGAATCAATGTCCATTACTACAAGAATTTAGAGTTCAGTTTGTAAATAGATAGTTTAATGTAGCTTGGCTCATCCCACAAGCCAAAACCCAGTTTTCATTTTTCTAGGTGAACTTGATATGAATGCATGCAAGTGACATTCACAAAACTTCGCAAATCTATACCACCAGATTTTTCTAGCCTCCCGTCCAATTCTATAATCAAGCATCCCTGGCCTGATTTAATAAGAACCCCCCCCCCTTCCTATACGCTTAAATATAAGTCTACTCCAATAACAGAAGCTTTGAAAGAGAATTTTCCCCTCTCTCTCAATCCTATACAATATTGCTTTCACCTGGAACCATAAGAGGACCAAGTGCTTCAGTGCGACAGACGATCACACCCTCTTAATGCTGCCTAGTAGCCACACCCACTTCACAGTGTATTTCCGGAGAAAAATAGACAATAGAAAACATACTGAAGTCACTCTACATACAAAACCATCACACAAGCCACACACAGGGGGAAGACCAAACACCACAGTGTGCGTTTCTTTTCTTTTCATTGCTTTCTGCTTTCAAAGCCTGAACTAATTATATGGAGATTTTTTTCCTCTTTGTACAGGAACTGTCTGTTTATACTAGCTTGACTCTAATAAAAGCAGAAAAGGTCAAAAGCTGCAACATCCACTGGGGAAAGAGAGCAATATCTGCAGTAAGGCAGGTGTACAGTAATGTTGGGATTCAAGTCCTACACTTTTGTATGCTCACTGACTTTCCATATAAAAAATTACAATACTGTGTCTGCCATCTTTCAGATTTCAACACGTCCCCTTGTGGATGCCCATAGCGAAATGGCATTTCAAATGCCGCATTGCCTTATTTTATACGGTAGCCCTGCTGAGGTACTGCTGTGATATTGGGAAGGTTATCTGTAGATATATCAGAATAAGGGCAATGTGGGAGCATAATCTGAACTACAGCTCCTATCATTCACAGCCATCATGACAAAGATCCATCTTTGGCTCCCTGACATACAATTAAGAAAATAATATTTTGGAAATTAGCTAAGTATTGAGACTGAATACTGCATCTTCACTTTTGGCAGTGTTTTGTATTGCTTAGCAACAGGCTTATTTCACTAAATGTTGTGATTTTTGTAAACTTAAGGCAAACCTCTTAAATGAAAATAATTATATGATTTCCTTTAGAGGAGAAATGGCCAGTAAAAGCTTGCTGAATGAAGAAGTGGTTAAGGAGAGATGGGCAGATAGTTGTACTAGCAAATTGCAAATCAATAACTTTAGAGTCACTTTGGGTAACATACCACTATGAGTAGATGAGCCTTTTTACAAATGTTTTTGGTATACAATTTAATGGTGTTTTCTTAAATCTGACCACTGTACATGAGTTTAAAAGAGAGAAGAATTCTGTTTTGCTACACTCTATACAAAAGGTTAATGTTAAGACATTATCATTTAATACAATAAATGTGGTTGCCAGATGACATTTGGTCCTAGCACTTTACTTTAGAAATTCATGAATAAATATTTTTAAACTTACAGTCTTCTAGACACAATTCTCCGGAGCAAGTCCCACTGAACTGGATCAGTGGTTCTCAACCTGTGGGTCGGGACCCCATTTGGGGTCGAACGACCATTTCACGGGGGTCGCCAAACAACGCAGTCCGCCATTTTTTCCCCCTTTTCCTTAGCTGTGCTACTCCCTTTTATTCTATTGGCTTTTGAAAGCCAATAGAATAGACTCTCTTGAATAGAGAGTCAAAAGTCAAAAGTCCCATTCTGCAAATGGTGCTGCAAGTTGTCTGCAGCGAAGGTGAGCTGTCTGGAAGTTTCCATCGCTCCCTGCTGAGCAACTACTAAAAATGTAAGTAAAAGAGGGCCAGGGGTGGGAGGTGGGAGGCCGGCGGCCGCAGGGAGGATTGCTGGCGCGTGTGGGGCCTGGCGGGTGCCTTACCTCCTTGGGTTGGGCCAGCTGGTGGCCCAGCCGGTGGTCGGCCTGCGCCATCTCTGCCGCTTGCCAGCTACGCCTCAGCCGGCGCAGGGGGCGGCACCACGCATGCGCGGTGCTCCCAGGCAGGGAAAGTCCTCGACTTACGACCGGTTGGGTAGTCCTCGACTTACGACTGGTTGGATAGTCCTCGACTTACGCCCGGTTGGGGTCGCGACATTAAAAAGGTTGAGAACCACTGAACTAGATGGAGTTTACTTCTGAATAATGCTTTGTCTGATTAGACTTGTATCTTATTCCTTATTTATCCTATTAATTGTTCGAATAATGAATACATGAATAGTATACATATATTATGTATCCATCACATTATTCCCTCTTGGGTTAATCAACATAATGAACAGTACAGTAAAGAAGCAAGATACACTATACTGAAGAAAGTTAAGGCATGAGATAAGAAAAAGAAACTTCTCTCCTTAGGAGAATTTGAGTTTCATTCAACATGACTTCCTTGGTCTTCCCCTTCCTCTCAATACACTCTTTCTTCATGTACTTAGTCTGCAAATCAATCTTCATTCATTCTTTTTATATGACCAAACCATTTCAATATACTTCTTTTGTACAGTACTGATGATTCACTTTTATATTCAGTCCACATTCATTTTCTACCTGTTCACTCTTGGCCATGCTTTACCTCAAACATTTCTTAAGTAATTCATTTCCATTGCATTGAAGTTACTTTTATGTTTCTCCTGACATCTCCAACACTGTGTTCCATATAGTGGACAGAAGTATCATCTTATTCAGAGCTATTTTTGCTTATTTTTATATCCATTCCTCATTAGAGTTCCTCTGCTCACTATAATTTTATCAGCACTGACATTTCTTCAACTGGAAATCAGCTTTATTTAAAAAAAAACTGGAAAAGATTGTGCACTGATACAGATAATTTTGTTCAGTGGTACTTGAATTACATCTCAATATGTTCATAGGATTTTCCAAACCATTATTGGCACTCATTTTTTCCATCTGAATTGTGATTTGCACAATATAATCCTGATGATAATCTATTAACTATGTGTCTGAATTTGAGGGAGATTTCATGGCCATTATCCTGGATTTAAAATACTATATCATTTCTTTACAATTCATAATTTGCACACTTGTCTCCATAAACCATTTTTGGAGGAAAAAAAATAATTGAATGAAATTATCAGTCATTTAGTTAGTTTAAATTTTGTGGATTGTGACTGGGCCTCTTCTCATATACGGTTTTTGTCAACTAAAGTCAGTTCATCAGATTTGGTTTAGCCTACTATAGAATGAACAGATGTGATTCTGTTGTAAAGAGCTGCCTCATATTCAGAAACAAATGTAATCATTATGTGTCTCATTTTTCAGCCTGTATTTAACATTTTGCATTTTGAACTTGATCAGAGAATCATGTAATACTTCTCAATTCTCCAAAAAGCCAATCACAAATGATCAAACATTGGAACCACATATTATCAACCTGAAGCAAGTAAAATGTAAATAAAAAAATAATAGAGTGCACAAAACAAAACATTTTAGTAATTTTATCAAAATCAAGGCCAGGATATTTTTAAAGCTTCCTATTATCAAATCCAATCTGGCTTATTGTAGATTCTGCATCCAACACTTTATGATTCCATTCTCATCTACCTGAGATCTTTTTCTGTTTGCCATTTCTATATTTTTCCTTGCTGCTATGTACATCGTTCACCTTTGCTTGTCCACTTTCACTACTCATTTATAGGATGGTCTACTCATTTGTCCAGTTCTTATTCTCATTTCTCAGCACTTACATTTACGCACTGGCATCTTAACTAGTATTCATCCATATATCCAGTGCTTATGCTTTCCACCAACACCATTTTGAGATTTTTTTCCCTCTGAAAGACAGCTTGAGCTTCCCAAACAAAGAATCTATCACTGCAACACAAACAATAAAGTGTCTTTCAATGAACAATCTAGTTTTGATGGAGAATTCCAGAGGACGAGGAGGCATTAGGTTTTCTGTAAAGAAGAAATTAAAAAAAGAGAACCTAGAAGGCCAGAACTGGCCAAGAGTCACCTGTTGCTCTGGTCTGCTTTGCACGCTGACTTCTTGGGGCAGAAGAGAGTGGGCAGAGGGAAGGGGAAATAGGAGGTCTCCAACAGTTTTCAGTAGTCTTGTGTTTGGTATCCCTGTGTACCAGCATCAAAAGCATCTGCGGAAGGGGGCTGCTGGTAGGTCCCCATGCTATCTGTGGTATCCTCATTTGTGTAGGGTGCAAAAGGCATGCCGGCCTCCTGGCTTGGATCTGTGTAGTCCTGGGAGAAGAGTGCTGAATCTGCTCCAAGTTGGTATCGCTGGAATGCCAGAAAAGACTGGCCCACCTTTAAGGGAAGATATGGCAGCATGGGGGAGATTTTGGAAAATGGGATGAAAAAAAAAACATGGGAAGGAAAAAGAGAGAAACATACCAGGAAGAAACAAATAGAAGCTGTGTTAATAATGGTTAGTGCATTAAGACATAAATTAGGGAATGTGACATGTTGCAATTACTTAACTGCGTGTAAATATACATTCTAAAGATCAGATGAACTGGCACAGTTCACCAAGATAGCAAGTTCAACAAAGAAGCTACAGAGTAAGCAAGGGAAGAGCAAACTTTCAGGAGAGATCCTATGGCTTATTTACTTGGATAAAAGGCTGGCGGAAATAAAGTTACAGTAGAAGATATGGTTCTGGAGTGGAGATTTTTTTTAGCATATCGAAACCCAACAAGGCCAGGTCAAGTATGTTGAAGGCTTTAGTCAGACCTCTTTCATATTCAATACTTCATATTCATATACCTGGGACAGGTAACAGAAGGATCACAGAAAGTTGTGCAGCCAAGCTTTTCAATGCTGACTGGGCTGGAGGTAAGAGTCTGAAACAACATTAGCTTTCCAGGGACATCTCATACTCATGCAACTCCACCTCTATTAGTTCTGGAGAACTATGGAAGCTGGCAGGTAGGAATAAAGGCAAACCATACTTTTAAGATTAATCAAAGTAGTGGCTATAAGAGGTCCAGCCCCATCATAAATCTCTTATTTGTGAAATAGTCTTTAGTAACAGTGCTGAAGAAACAGTGTGGGAAACCATGGCAGTTTCTAAACTGCCTTCTGATACCATCAACATGTAGGTTATTCAACAGAAGAACAAGTTGTGGCAATATGAGGGTGAGCAGGAGTAGAAAATACATTTTGACTATGAACCTGTTGTTATTAGTGTTAAAGTTGTTAACCATGTCAACAAAAAAGGCACAATGGTGTTACCTAGCATTGAGGGTGAAGAAAGAAGCAGAAGAAAAGAAATTGAATAGGACATACTCTACTTTCAACTATTTGCAGCTTCAAAAGAAGACAACCTCAAATATTTCCTTTAATAGCTCAATGTTTCTAGAATTCTCCTTCTTTCCCAAAACATCCCATTTTATTTGCTGGACCTGCCCTCTTTCATCCTGTTTTCTTCCTTCCTTCCTTTAAGCATCAGAAATATTTGCTTTAAACATTTTCTCTCTGATAAGCTAATTTTTATGCACCCAAGGCTAGGGGAGAATTGGTGAAGAATTAGGAAACAGTGTATTGTATTCTTCCTGAAAAGTAATTTCTCCAAGTCTGCGAAAGGCCAGAAAAGTCAGGAAACTCTGTAGAGAAAGAATAGGATGGACAAAGGGCATTAGACACAATGTGAATTCAAGGCCTTATTGAAATTAAAGATAACATGGGAAAATAGCTGGATGTCTAACTTCCATTTAGTAGAAGAGAAATCTAGATGGGCCGTGTTTATAATAAAAGACTTCATGTGACAGTAAATTTCTTCAGTAGATAGCAGATTTTTTTTCTATTTGGATCAGAAAAGGACTCAATCCATCCCAAGAATAAAAGCTGTACTCTGAGCCACCAAGCACCAAGGGCCCCACAGTTCAACTCCTGAGGTACAAATATTCTCTTCTGTCAATGCTGCCAATGATAAAAACAATAAGCAACACTGGGAGGGATAACCTCGTCCCTCCGGGACAGCATCTCCAGATAAAACCATTGAGATTTGCCAACAAAATGGCCAGATTTAAGTAGCAGAATTTCAGAATGCTTGGGAAGATTAGTGAGGAAGAAGGGAGAAGTTTGTTCTCCCGGGCTTTCCATTCCCACCCTAATCCCCACAAAAAAAAAAAAAAAAAAAAAATTGATGGAAATTAGACGACAGAGTCACTGTGCAGCCTCCAACACCCTCCAAAAGGCTGGGAAGAAAAGCCATAGCCCCTAATTTAAGATAGGCAGTTTAACATTTAAACAGCAGCTGGAAGAAAACAAATAATACCAAAACCCAGGGGAAAGGGAAAAAGATTTCTTAAAATGCCAAAGAACTCCTGAAGCTTTGTTCCTAACTAAAATATAAATCAACTATATCAACAAATATAGGAATTTCTTTTAGATAAAATCATACTCTGTATTAATCTGGGTTGTTCTCAGCCTTTCATTTCTTGTTTTTCTTTTGGAGTTCTCTTCCAAAGGAATATTTAAAATTTGGTTATATTTAAATATAGATAAAAATAAGCGGTAAAGAATTCTTCTCTATGAAAAGCAATAATCATGTATGGCAATAGCTGTCTTGCAGCTCTTCCAAATTCTCACCATGTGACAATATATAAGGCAAATAAGCCATATGACATTATATCTCTAAAATGTAATATGTGTCAGGCTAGTAATAAGTGTTAATTGTAATCCATCCTGCACTTTTTGTTCCTTCCATTATCAGAAGCAGAATATTCTTTTTTATAATATATCAGTCAAACAGTGGGTATTTTTAAATTTAAAGACATTAAATGAATATTTATAGATGGACAAAATATGATTCACACTGTAGAAATGACAAGTCTAGTTTGCTTTAGTTATTATACCTAACTATTCCAGCAATGATTTTAATTATCTAAAAAATTCTAGATTGCTTCTCATATTTATAGATAAAAATGTAGTGATAAATCAACAAATTAGCTACTCTATCATCAAATTTGGTGATTTTCTTTTTTAAAAGATGCCAGTGTCAAATGAAATAAGCATTCTTTTTTAGGGGTTTTCTTAAGTAGCTATTGAGAACCTTTAAAATGTTTTGAAACTGACAGTTAAAATCATGAAAGGAAATCCAGCTTATGTGGAGAGCACCTTGTTGGAGGAGGCTATCGTGGAACCATTTTGCATTACAAAGCTTAATTTGAAAAACAAATTCTAGTTTGTTGAGATATAGAGCTGTAAAAGTCAACTGAGTTGGGTTAAGATGTTTCCTTTGCTGCAACATCATCTCCAATAGGGAAGTAAAGGTTGGACTGACAACAGATACAGTATGTAAGCAACAATGTTTTTGATAAACTAACTCTTTTTTTTTCTCTATAGTCAAGCCATTGATTATTCAGATCATATAAGCAGATTTTTTAAGACTAAAGACAGAGGAGCTCTCCCTTATACAAATGGAAACTGGAGCAATAAGATGCTTATAAATGACTCCCCTCGTTACTAGACAAGGCCCAAGCCTGTATAACTTACCCAGGTGAAGATGGAGAAAAAAGAGAAGGCAATGGCTGCTCGGGCAGCATCTGATCCTTCATTCAGTAGACTATCCTCTTCCTTCGAAACACGCCATTGGTCAGCCAAGAAACAAAACCCGACAAACCAGAGAAATGCCCAAAAGCCTATAAGAGATCACCATCAAAACAAGAGGGAAAGGGAAGGATGAAGGAATACACACCCATGAATTTTAATTCTCACACTTGTTCAGAAATTTTTCCCTATAATATCTCAAAGTGATTTGCAGATTGGGATAAATTCCAGTTCTTTATAGCATGGAATTGCAAGTTAAATCCAAATCTATTATTCTCAAACCTTACATGTTCCAAATTTGAGGGATTGAAAGAATTTGAAAAAGGGAACTAGTGATTAAAAGGCCCTTTTCCCTTTCTGCTATCCATTCCTGATAAATATGGCAGCAGTCATTTTAGCATCTTTCATTTGGCCAGGATCTGCACTCAGATGCAATTCTAGCTGTGAAAATATAATAAGTCCTTTTTGTTCTCCATAGAGGTAGTCCTTGATTTACAACCATTCATTTAGCAACCATTTGAAGTTACAATGGCACTGGAAAAAGTGACTTATGACCAATCCTTGTGCTTACAACCATTGCAGCATTCCTATAATCACAGGATCAAAATTTGGATGCTTGGCAATTAGCATGTTTTTATGACAGTTGCAGCCTCCCAGGTCATGTGATTGCCATTTATTTCCTTTTTGGCGGGCTTCCAACAAGCAAAATCAATAGGGAAGTTAATGACCATGTGATTCACTTAAGAACCATGGCAAAAAGATTATAAAGTTGGGTATGACTCACTTAACAATTCTGGTTGCAATTGTCAAGTTCTATATACATAAACACATACCAATTTCCTATCCTGGTATTCTTTTTCCTCTTTTATGCTTTGCAAGCCAGCAGCAATAGCATCTTTTTCGTTTCAACTTGTAAGGAATGTAGCTGTATTGCCGAGGATGTTTTAGGAAAAGGAGGAAGAAGGGAAAGCATACATATTCATTTACCCAGCAAATCAAGTTTTTTGGGTTAACACTCAGTTCTGCCTTAAGTAAGGAACATGCTGTGGAATGGCAAGGCTTAGTCATCAAGAATAAGTTCATTTCCATTGTACAAATGGTATCTCCTGGCCCCACAACAGTGGAGTCATTTGCTCATTTATTCTTGAATTTCAGCAATTCTGTAGAACTAAAACGATACAATGGAACACAGGCTCAGCTGAGAAGGAGGACACATGTAGAAAGAGCCCTATCTTGAAGGAAATGCTGGATTGTTTTTTTTTTTTATTGAAAATTTTTATAAGTTTTTACAAAAAAACAGAAAAAAATACAACAATACAAAAACAGAAAACAACATATACAAGAAACTAAACATAACATCCCCTTCCCCATCCCCCCCCCAAAAAACCACCCCCCTTCCCCCCCCCTGAGCTTCCCAGAGCAGAATATAGGCTTAATTAAAAAAGAATTTAAAAAAATTATATATAAAAAAGAAAAAAAATTAAGACTGAAATATATGTATATGTATATAGAAATAAAAATTATGAAAAAGCAATATGATATTTTTTTATATCCAATTTAAATTGTATAAATTCTATCCATTTATCCCAAACAGCAAGAAATTTCTCTTGCGTTTGTTCCTTTAAGAAAGCCGAAATCTTTGCCATTTCCGCCAAATGGGACACTTTAAAAAACCATTCCTGCAGTGTAGGCAAGGATTCCTTCTTCCAATATTGTCCTACTAACAGCCTTGCGGCTGTAATCAAATTTAACATCAATATAACCTCCTTTGTATCACAATCAGTAACTATACCCAACAAAAATAACTGCGGAGTAAATTTTACCCTCCTTCTGAAAATTCTCTGAATATTCCACCATATCTTAATCCAAAATGCTTTTATCTCTCTGCACGACCACCAAATGTGGTAATAGGTGGCATCCAAGCAACCACATCTCCAACATTTAGGCTGTAAGTCCGGGTACATGAAAGACATTTTTTGTGGGTCAAGGTGCCATCTATAAAACATTTTATAAAAATTCTCCCTTAAGTTGCTGGATTGTTGAAGGTCTCAATAGTCTAAATAATCCAAAGGAATTTCTATAAACGGTTCTGTATGGTAGGCAGAGTTATTATTTCTGCAGTTTTAAATGGGGTGAGGGTTGGAGAGAACAATGTGATTTTGGCCTCATTCTGAGTCAAAGCAGAACTAAGAGTTAAACTGACTCTGACTAGCTTGAAACACAGCTTTTTAATTACTGTTTTGCTTTTAAGTAATCATGGCTAAGAGAACTGGAGTAATAACTCCAAAATGTATTTCCTTTCTTCCATTATTTATGTAGCATTTCCATGCCAGTAAGCTAACTAGCTCTGCTATAGAATTTGCTAACATAGAAGAAACAAAGCAAAACAGACAAAAATGAGCAGGCATTAAGCAAATATCCCCTGGCTGTTCTTTTCTATCCTGACATCATTAACAGATGCATCTACTATAAATATTACACCTTAATGGATTTATAATTAAATTGAACCATCTTACAGAGCTGTTTGGTGTAGTGGTTAAAACAGCAGTCTAGAAACTAGGAGACTGTGAGTTCTAATTCCGCTTTAGGTACAAAGCTTCCTCGGTGACTTTGAACTAGTCACTTTTTCTCAGTCCTAGGAAGGAGGCAATGACAAATCACTTCTGAAAAACCCTGTCAACAAAACTGCAGGGATTTGTGCAGGCAATCTCCAAGAAGTGGGCATGATTGAACGGAAGGAGAAAAAAACCCTATTGTAAGGATGAAAAGGATGGCTTCCTCTAAGGATGGCAAGAGAAACAATCTGCACCGTCCATGGAAGAGAATGCATGCCTGATGCGCTAGTATAGCAATGTGCTTTATTTTCTCTGAAAGCACAAGGGCATTTTTTTTTTCAAATTTGTAAGAGTGCCGGCTTCCAAGATTATCAGTCAAACTGTGAGAGGGATCTCAGAGTCCTAGTGGATAATCACTTAAATATGAGCCAGCAGTGTGCTGCAGCTGCCAAAAAGGCCAACACAGTGCTGGGCTGCATTAACAGAGGGATAGAATCAAGATCACATGAAGTGTTAATGCCACTCTACAATGCCTTGGTAAGGCCACACTTGGAATACTGCATCCAGTTTTGGTCACCATGATGTAAAAAAATGTTGAGACTCTAGAAAGAGTACAGAGAAGAGCAACAAAGATGATTAGGGGACTGGAGGCTAAAGCATATAAGGAAAGGTTGATGGAATTGGGTATGTCTAGTTTAATGAAGAGAAGGACGAGGGGGGACGTGATAGCAGTATTCCAATATCTCAGGGGCTGCCACAAAGAAGAGGGAGTCAAGCTATTCTCCAAAGCGCCTGAAGGCAGGACAAGAAGCAACGGATGGAAATTAATCAAAGAGAGAAGCAACCTAGAACTAAGGAGAAACTTCCTGACAGTGAGAACAATTAACCAGTGGAACAAGCTGCCTCCAGAAGTGGTGAATGCTCCAACACTGGAAGTTTTTAGGAAGAGACTGGACAGCCATTTGTCTGAAATGGTATAGGGTTTCCTGCCTGAGCAGGGGGTTTGGCCTAGATGACCTCCAAGGTCCCTTCTAACTTTATTATTATTATTATTATTATTATTATTATTATTATTATTATTATTACTATTATCTGAAAAGATGAGGCTAGAGAAGGCCATACAAATGTTATCTTAGGCTGCATTAACTCATGCTTGAAAAGTTTCAGAGAAGGCTTCCTTGAAGGGAGAATTAGTATGGAATCACTTCTCAACTATAAAAATAACATTTGTGAAAACACAATGATGAAAAATAATTCACTGAATAACCCTGTTCCATTGGACAACTATCGCTTTGCCAGGTTTATTTACTGGATTTTAGGCTCTCTGATTCCAAAAATATTCTAGATAACTTTAAGATTTAAAAATGTATCACTTAATGAAACATGATTGCCCAGACAAAACCCACATAAATAACACTTCTAAAAAACTGTTGGGGTTCCACAAACATCCTATCTTCAGGCCTGGGAAAAGGACAGTCTTAAGAAGCTTCCAGGTGGCTTGAAGTTTTGGGGCTTATGTGTCTGTGGAGGAATGCTGTTCCACACCCCTTTGATCCCACGAGATAACAACATTTAATTGAGCAGATCTCCAGTGTGTCTGCTATGACCAAGCAAACCAGACAGGCAGAAACAATTAGAGACAATTACTAGCGGTAGCAAATTATAATGCTTGGAAGAACCATAAGAACAAATCAGCATCTCAGGAAAAAGTATGTTTTTAAGGAAGATGTGTAATTCAACTGTAGAAATTCACTGAAATCAATGTGACTTAAATAAGTTGTGACTGCATTAAGGTTTATATATCAATTTGCTTTGGAACCAGACTTGATATAGCTGAATAGAACAATGAGACGAATTAAAGTAAAGCTTAAATCAAGAGGGTTTTCAAAAATATTTCTAATAGTTCAGAACAGCAGTACCTGTTGGGCCTTAGATTTTGTATTCACCTGCCCATTTTGAAACCCACTCACCCATGGATGCTGCTGATTCAATGCTCCTGGTTGATGCTCTTGCAGAATATTCTCTGTATGGGCAGATAACTCTCCTAAGACGATTACAGCCTGCATAAGCCAGCCCCAATTCCTTTTAATTTGGTCTTCAGTTTCATAAGGAGAAGATTTTAAGTCTTACTGTATCCTTTAGAGCCAAAACAAATGGCAGCGGCATCTTGAAGATTTTTAGTTTAATTGGGAATTAGCTTGCTTTAGAATTAATATTTATTTGATGGAAAATTAATAATTAGAAAAACTTACTAGCTATAAAGCTAGCATATCACAATATTATAACATTTCTGAAAGTGGGTGTTCCTTTTCTCCATTATATTCAAGAGCTCTCCTTTGAACAGGGTATTTCTAGGAATAATTTTTCTTTTTTAAAAAGTGGTGCCAAAAATCTTTCTGGTTACTTTATTTGTGCATTTCTGAATGATGTTAAGGAAAGCAGTCATGTGACTCCACCCATAGAGGCCCCTCATTTTCCAGAGTTCTCATTTGCATAGAGATTCTCCATAGACAGAGGACACCCTGAATGACAATCCATTTCAGCAAAGGCAATTCCTTCTATTTACAGTTAATTAATTTGGCAAAAAAATGTGTTAATTTAAAAACTCAAAAGAGTAAAACTGGTGAAATTAAGAAGTCAGATAAATGGGAGAAAGGGTAATGAAGATTATTGCAAGAGAACAAAAAAAAATCTTTTAATTTCAATAGGTGATCAGTTTATTTAGTAAAGCAGATTCCAAAACAATACAACTCCATCTCTGATTATTAAAAAGCCATTTAAATCATGTATACAGAAGTAAACCTGGATCCATATTCACCAACAGGAATACACACTGTCCCTATAGAAACCCATATACATTCACCAGAAACTCACCAGATACTCCAATGTCTGAAAGCACAGCTTTCTTGCGATCCTTGACACTGCTAATCTGTGGGAAGTAGACATCTAGGGCTAAGTAAAGAAGGCAGGTGAGGAATGCAAGGACTCCCACAGTGATACCATAGTTGCAGGCATTCTGGTTGTGATTGTAGATGCAGAACTCTTCTGGTGACTTTGGATTATTGATATAGCCTTCATTCACAATGCAGCCAAACACAACAATGGAAAAAAGCTGGGATATAGAAAGGTGAGAAAAGAGTTAAAAGAATTTATTATACAAATATATACAAAATTCACATGAGGCACACTGATTATAGATCATCAAATTGGTGTTGATTCTTAGCAACTAGATCAACAGAGCTTTACCACTGCAGGATAAACTGTCCCCAACTTGGCCCTTTGTGTCTTACAACAATATACCCATTCTTGCTGTAATTGTTGTTTCAGACAATATAACCATTTCCAAATCCCATTCATATCAGTGAAAGGAGAATTCAGTATGTAACTAAAAGCTAAGTAGGCCTCCAGTGATAAAGCATCCACAACTTCTGAAGGCAAGCTGTTTCACTACTTGTTTCTCCTTAGTTCTAGGTTGCTTCACTCCTTGATTACGTAGTTCCCATCCATTGCTTCTTGTCTTGCCTTCTAGTACTTTGAAAAATAGGTTAACCTCCTCTTGTTTGTGGCAGCCCCTCAAATATTAGAACACTGCTATCATGTCACCCCTAGTCCTTCTTTTCACTATACTAGACAAACCCAATTCCTACAACCGTTATTCACATGTTTTAGCCTCCAGCCCTCTAATCATCTTTGTTGCTCTTTTCTGCATTCTTTCCATAGTCTCAACATCTTTTTTACAATTTGATGACCAAAACTGAATGCAGTATTCTAAGGGTGGTCTTACTAACACTTTATAAAGACCACACTTAGAATACTGCATATGTATATCATTTTTTAATTCCTTGTTTTTTTCAAATCAAGAAAACAATACATCAATAACATTCAAAAATAATATCTAATCATTAGCATTCTTGACTTTTCATTTACTTCTTCAATTATAATTTTGTTTCATTGTCCATTCATTAATTCTATTTGTTCAAACTTCTTTATCTTTTTCCTTGTTTTTCTGGTATTTTTATTACAGCTACATAATATTTACATAAAATCATGATAGTCATAAAATAAGAACTAGCTAAAAGTAGAAACCTTCAAATGTATTCTTCAGAGTGATTCAGGAAATTTCATCAAAAGAAAACCAGAGATCACTAAGGAAGGAACAAACATGTTTCCAAAATACACTGTAAGATATCCCAAAGGTGCTTTTTCAAGAACCATGACCTGGATGACTGAGAATCTCCATAGACACACTGTAAGATAATTCCATTCAGACTTCTGTAGTCCACTGCAGAATTTAACCTTGCACAAAGACCTAACAAACAGCACATCTGAAGGGCAGCAAGTTTTGAAAGCCTGCTCATTTTCCAAACATCCTGTAGTTGTTTATATGGGCTAGAATTATATTAATCAAGAATTGCAAATATTTCCCTTTGGAAAACTAACATACATATCATACCTTGGTTAAATCTGCATGATGCTTTCCTTAATTTTTCTTTCCAAGTGGAATCTAATGTGTTCAAAAGTAATCATCATCCTCAATCATCTATCTCTACTTTAATCAGACGTTTACTTATGTGCAAATTCATCAATTTGCTTTTAAAAAAAAAATACTGCCCATTCTAATAGGTCAAGGTGACTTCGAGGAATATATCAATAACATACAATCATAGTTGCATTGGCAGTATATTATGATGCTTCTATTGATGTATTATACTTATACATCAGCTTTTTTAAATCTATTTTTGTGGTTTGTTCTGAACCACCCAGAGTTATGCATTCAAGATGAGTAGCCACATAATTTTTTCTAAATAATACATTCTAAAAGCTGTACATTTAAAATATTTTACATTTTAAAATATAAAGCAGCTCTAAAAAAAAATGTAAACCTTTAAAATTGTAACAAGTATATTTTAAGCCTTCTCCTAAATTGTATTTAGGAGTTTTAGTTCCTATGACAATTATTTTCACGGTGTATAACTTGCCACAGAAAAAAGCAGAAATTCCTGTAGATATTAAACATATTTGTGCTGATATTTGCAAAACGTGACCTATTAAGGACCTAAGACTGAAAGGCAAAATGAACAAGAACAGGTGGCCTGCAGACAACTTGGCCATACCACATAACGTTTATGCTCTGTAGTGACTACCTTGAACAAGGGTCACCTCAGAAATAGTCCATGGCAATTTATAGAACTATTTAGCATAAACAAGAGTATTTATAATTCCTTTATTATTTTTATTTAAAATATTTTAAAATAAACTGTTATGGTCTAAAAATGACAATACACTTTTTAAATGTGATATCAATATTTTTAAAAGATTTTAAAACATGCTGGAAGTCACACATTTTATTAAGCAGGCCAAGGTTGAAAAATACTGCATTAGACAACCTCTAACCATGGAGCAGCCATTAAAAACATCAATATACTTTTTCTTTTGAATCACTTCCATACTAAACTCTTACTAATAAAACTAAAAAAAAAGTCTAATTCATGTTATAGTGCAGGGATATTAGTTGTGGAAGAAAACAATCCCAGTTAAAGCTTGGGAAGCTTCTGACAAATTTCATGTACTTATCAGTGTGTACCATAATTTAGGACCATTTCTTTAAATCCAGGAGCTGATTACATTTCCATCTGAAATAAACTGTATAGCATGTAGATATAGAGACATAGCAGAAAAATCGGAATTAAGAACTGTTTTGTAATGTTTCAGGTCACAGAGGACAGACAGACAAACATAGGCAAAGCATTTCCAAGAAAATGAAGAAAGAATGAGAGAAAAGGCAAGGCACAGAGACCTGAACAGCACTAGATTAATCACTAAAAATATTTTCTCAGAATTCCTGTTATTTTGAACCTTGTTATTTTCACTGGATATTTTCTCCATAAAGTCAGTCAGTAATAATAAAAAAAAACTACCCTCATCTTCCTTATCCCCAATGTTGCAAATTGAGCAGATAGCTTACACAATAGATCCCTTGACTGCCATGTGATGCCTGCTGCATGATACCCATTTCCAGTGGTCTATTAAGTTCTCCTAACTATCATGTGATGTGTTGGCATCTCAGCCCCCAGATCCCTCTTGAGCACCAGACAAAGAAAGTTGCCTTTCTCCTTGACCAATGTACTACTTAATTTTTGAAACCACCACTATGCATTGAATTCTTTTTATTTCTAGCATTTTACTTATTATGAATCCTTCCCCTCACAGAAATGCTGCTAAACCACCTTTCACTTCTTTAGTCACATCATATGTCTCACCAGGTTTATAACTGAACTGATCTCAGAAAGAATAAAGCAGACTTTTTTTAATCAAGTTTTATTGTGTTCTTGTTGAAATGAAATGAGATTCAAGCTGAATTTGCTAAACAGATCTCCATCATAATTAGGATTCTTGAACTGAACCCCAAGAAGTTGGACAACATAGTCTTTCAAATCTATTGTTCTCTAAATCCAAGTTCAGCTATATTTAAAGCAGACCAACTAAAACTCAAGGGAAATTATTTAGATATGACTAAAGTAGCCTTAAGCTTCCATTGTTTCAGTGGATCTACTTGAAGAAGAATGAAACCTGCACCTAACACAATGCTTCCACATTTTGACCATTTATCATATTTATTGCAAAGAAAGATGACCATCACACACACACACATACACACCTCTCTTAAAAAGAGAACTTCTAGGATTGGGGAAAGAGAGAAGTCACAGTACACCTGAAAAGTTCTAGTTTTTTCCCCCAAAGATGTTATGGAAAACCTCAGATGTTTTACTGATACTCTGAATACTGTACTTGACACTTATTGAGACCACTGCTGTGTTGCCAGTTGTTATACGGTACAGATAATGTGTAGTCCTCATTCATTTAGTCATCATACGAAGTCACAACAGCACTGAAAAACATAACTGAATTCTTACTCTTGCAACCATTGTAGCATTCCCATAGTCACGTGATCATAATTTGGGTGCTTGGCAGCTGGCATGTATTTATGATGGTTGCAATATCTTGGGGTCATATCATCACCATTTGCAACCTTCTCAGACAGTATCCAACAAGCAAATCAATAGGAGAAACCAGATTCACTTAACAGAAAAGAAGTGACAGAAACAGGGGGCAGAGTCAAAAGAGGAATCAGCCTAGAGTCTCTACATAACCACAAATGGATTAAGTCCAATCCCTCTTGAATTCCATTATCCCAAATTAGTGCTAATCATTAGTTGAGTAGATTCCTGTGCATACGCATGAGCAATAAATCAGTTTAATTTGGAACTTCATGTGTGGTCCTGGTCTTTCGTGCCTTCCACTTAATAATGATATGATTCACTTAACAAATTCAATGATTTACTTAACAACTGTAGCAAAAATGATGATAAAATTGAGTGCTATAAGCTTAACGATTGGCTTGCTTAGCAACAGAAATTCTGGTCCCTATTGTTGTCGTAAGTTGAAGATTACCTATAACTGAAGGAATCTCTTTCCATTTGGACTTGCAACTTTCTTGTGAGAAGTGGTTATTCAAATGGGGCACAAATTATTCTGAGTCTTTTTCATATGAGATCTATGCATAAAACCTATTCTTATAAATATTTACAATATCTTACACTGCTTCTGAATTTAATAAAACCAACTTTCTACATGCCCATTAAAGAGTAAATCCTATTCCCAATGGACTAAATTCTAGATAACTATAGACAGAACCACCGCCTAGAAAAGTCAAGATGTTTATAGCACTTTTCACTTTTAATATTGTGTATAACTTGAAATAATAGGTGGTAGCTTTGCTGTCATACACAGTATTTATATTTTACAGGATTGCTACCAGCTCCAGTCTTCTTTGACATTTCAGCTTCATGCAACATGCAATTTTCATTTTTCCACAGAAATGCTTTCTCTGCCATTCCTGAGAATAAATCCAGTGCATGCCTATTTGCTTGAAAAGTGATGCCTCTGTATTATTTGTCTATAACACACTTATATTCAGTTCTGCACAATTTAACATATAGCTTAGATATCTCATACATATCATATTTCAGTGCTTTTAAATAAGAGATAGGTTTTCTCCATGCTTTGCTTATATTATAGCTTGACTATTGCAATTCAGTTAACCTGGGACTG